CTATATAGCATATAAAATAATAATATATGTTTCAACAAGGAAAGCAATTTGTTCAGATGCAATCAACAACCGAAATTGTAATCGAGTAGTTTATTTATTAGTAATACCATGAGTAGTTATGTTACTTACTTATAAATTTACCTTCAGTATTTATTTTACTTATTTATAAGTTTACCATCAGTGTTTACTTTGGTTATTTATAAGTTTATCTTAGTACTTATTTTACTTATATTTATAAGTTTACCTTCAGTATTTACTTTACTCATTTATAAGATCACCTTCAGTATTTATTTTACTTACTTATAAGTTTACCTCAGTATTTATTTTACTTATTTATAAAGTTTACCTTTGGTCTTTTCCAGACTATCTGTCCTGGTGCATTCTTAGTGTGGAACAGTGACTCGTTGTTAGCAGGAAACATGGGATCTTCCCATAAAGTTCCACTTGCTCGACAAGACTTGCAAATCTCTTCATAATTCTGGTTATCAAAATACGTTGGGGGAGTTCCAAACAGCCCGCACATTTTTTCTCTTGATCTATTCATAGGGAAACAAAAATCCATATTTAATAACATGTGAATATTGTAAGTGTGGCATTTACAAAATTTGAAGACTTGTTGAGCGAGAGGATGAGAGAGGGGGAAAGGAACTTATGCAAATTACATATTTTTTAAAGGGCTGAAGGAATCTATAGAAAATTTATAGACTCAGTAATTCCAATGTTTACTGTGACTCAAAGGTGATAAAAATGTTTTTCTCATTTCTATTTTGCTAAACATATTCTAAAAAAAGAAATATCAATGCATAATTTCTCTACAAAATTAAATTTAACCATTACACTTACTTTTTTATTTTTACTTTTTATGATTTTTTTAATATACATTCTTCTATTAGGTGATGGTTTTTTAGACCCCATTAGAAATAAGTCCTCTTGGACTTTAATGGGCTGTCTTGGCAACCCCATCATTCTGTTCGAAAGGTGTATATAAGAAAAATGATAAATTAATACCTTTTTTTACATATTTACTAAAAATAATATTATATTGCTATTTTAAACTTCTGGCTTCGGGCCTTTTTATCTATTTCGATGTAAATTGCTAAATTGATGTTTTTAATATTTGATGTTTGTGATGTTTTGCGTTTTAATGATGCCGAATAAGTTCAATTTAATTCAATTCAAAGTAATTAAATTAGTATTACTATAATGTTTACATTTACATTCTGTAATCTATGCAATAAGTGAATAGCTACGTACAGTATTTGTTTGAATGATTAGGAAATAAATAAAAAATAAAAACCCATAGTTCCCTGATAAAATTTAGTCTTTGATACTTATAACATTTTGAGTTTTATTCAAGTATTTGACAATGAACAAATATTAGGAAAAATAAAAAATGTTAATGAAAATTTAAAATTGTGCATTACAAAAAAATTGGCGGCTCGGGGAAGAACCAGAGGCAATGATCAAAGGGTAAGTACCAGTACCATACTTTTGTTCGTGTTTCATTACAGTTGATGGAAATCGTGTCCACTTTGGTGGCACCCTCTATGTCTTGGCATAATTATGGGCAAGAAAAATAGGCTTGTAGGGGTGTCCAGTAGTTATGATGGGCCAACCAGCCTTGAAGATTTGCACCCAGTCTAAAGCTAATTTCATACCCCTCCACCAGCCTTTAAATATTAACCCCCTTGCACATACTTAAATTTTACTATTATTATTTAGAGTTTACCAATGTTATCATCCGCACACCCTTAAAATGTCCATCCCCCATCCCTCTTCCCCCCACCATTGTTTTCCACAGCTAACACCTTAAACTTGGCAGGCAAAGTATTAAAATAATGAACATAGACATTCTATACCTACAGATAGATGCTGAAACAACCACTTTACAAAATAAATATAATGCATAAAAAACCTGTTTACATTAAAGGAAATAATTGTCTCGTTCTTGCAGGCATACAACTTAAAGGTTAAAGTCCAAACTACAGTGAATACTGTACATTAACTAAAGATGTTGCACAAAACAGTACATTTACCATATGATTTTTTTTGTTTTCATTTCTATTTCAACAGAATGACATCAAAGGATGCCTTAAATACCTAGCAATATAAAAACAGCTAAATTATAATTAAATACGAATGAATTAGAAAAGAGGTAAGCAACTTTTTTGGTTTGATGAGTTTAAGATTTTATTGCAGTTGGTATTATCATTTTTATTGAAACTTAGTGGCGGATCAAGGGATTTCAAAGGGGCGCTCAGACCCTCCCTACACAAAAACAGTGCCAGCCAAAAAATGTTTGGCTTTTGGCAAAATGTTAAAATGGCTAAAACTGCAAAACAACAGGGGAACAGCCCTTTGGACCCATTCCAAACCCTTCCTCTTGGACCATACTGTAGGTTCTGCCCAATTTAAATTGAATTGCCACTCATACCACACATTTTAAATGGGAGGGTCCAAATCCAAATTCGGAAAAAGGCACCTAAAAATATTAATATTTTGTGAGTACGAGGTAAGTGATAATGGATGGTGGTTAATTATTAATAGTTTACCAGCTAAACCACATATCAGGTCCAAATTAGGCACATTGACAAAAATTCTTGCTACTTGTCTATGAAAAACTAGATACGACTATAATAATTGCCATACTGTACATATATTTTAAAAATAATGTATCATAAATGTGTACTAAATCTGCTACAACAAATTGAAACATTTGCAATTTAAATAAAATTAAAAGAAGTAATTTTAATTCATGGCAACATATAGTATTAAGTTTAAAGAAAACTAAAGAGAGTTAAAAAGGTTCTAGTTGATGAAACAACAACAAAACCGAAAGCCTTTGCTACTGTAATCCTAAGCTTTACTCAATGAAATGCATCTGGATGTACAAAACAGTGAGAATTGATTCACAGGGAAATTCTTATTCTGTGGGACAAAAGAGGCCGAATAAAAGAGAGTACCTGAACCAAATCAATGACATTTTTATACTGTAGTAGCTTTGGCAGGTATGTCAATTCCAATCAAAGATAAAACTTTAACAGGTTGGAGAGGAAAATAAAAATATAAAAAGAGTTTAAACAATAAAAACTTTATTCATGGTCCTTGAAGAAACATAAATTAAACAATTATTTAATATTGTATTGAAGAGAATTAGACAATCACATATTAAAACCTCAATATGATAGATACACAAGATAAGACCTTCAGTACAACTGAATAACAACACACTGTTAATACTATACTGTTATCCACCATAACAAACCCCTCAATCACATTATTTATGATTACAGCCACTCTACTACTCTACAAGCTCGAAGTCCTTATCAATATTTTCAAGGACAAACCTAGCATCACATAATACTGTACAAAAAGCCCCACAATATCAATCAAATTTTGGTCAAGGCCAAAAAAAAAAATAAAAATACTGGTTTCTCGTTAAAATTGCGCATCCATTTTCTCTGCCTCATCAATTTTTGTTAAATTCCTTTATTTTACAAAATTTACGAACCTTTCTCAATCGTTCGTAGTTGGGATACATATTGTATGAATCATGTCAACTGTAGGACTTCTTTTATTTGCTTTCAATGTCTCTAGTTGGTAAAAAGTGAGAAAGTTTAGCTGTTTCCCATCGACCACCTTAGATTTGCCATCTCAGAGTGTAAAAAAAAAAAGAAAAAAGCGCACTTATTCTTCCTTTTCCAAAATATTAGGATGAGAAACTACTTTTTTTTTTACTTGGCCTAAAGTAAACATACTGTATGAAGTATGAATTGTGCTGTACTCTTTACATTAAATAGATGTCTACTTTATTCAGTAAAAAATATTTCCAATAAATGTCAATGACAGCAAAGAGGCTTCAAAATGAGGACGGTTAGCAACACAAGTACTGTCAACATGTAATTTATGATAAACAGCAATAAAGTGCACCGACCATCATATTTAGTACTACTGTATACAGTTACCCAGCAATTATAACAAATTATGATTATAAAGCTATTATCATAATAACACTAACCTTTTGAAAAACAGATGTTGCACATGTGAATTAATGCTTTTATAACATCCCCCCCCCCCACACCCCCGCATTGAAGGTATAGTTTGTTAAACTTCTGATAGAAAACTGGGCCACTATTCCTTTTTGGTTTTTAAGGTGGGTTTAACAATTAGTAGGTTTATTATTTAGAGTACTAGGTTTATATTAATTATTAATCACAGATTAGGAATGAAAAATGATGCGCGGTCTCACCACAAAATGAGATGCATCATTGGTGAAATCATATTGAGATATTCACCAAAATAGGCCAAAGTCAAAATATTTACAAATGTTTAATTTTAATGTTTTTATATAACTTATATTTTATGATTGTATATTTTTAAGTGAATTTTCTTACTAAAACAGTGTTTTCTGCGCATATTCTGTCACTCTAGTTCTATATTAATTGTACAGGTTAGTTTATCTTTGAGGCCGATTTTCTTTATTTAAACTTTAATGCTCACATCTCTGGCTCTACTTTTCCAAGGGAAGCCATTAAAAGACCAAATTAAAGCTTACAGTATTATGAGATCTACACAAAATAAAACATAAACTCAATTTTTAATTTTCTAACCATGAGACTCCATTTGTAATTAGGTCTCTCATGTCAAACCACTCATGTTTCTTGTATCACCATTTCACATGATTAATGCAAAAGTTGTTGAATTTTTCTGTGATACAATTCTATTTTTAACATTTGGTTCTGACGAGGCAGACGCCCTGAAAAACGTGTCGTGTCGAATAACTTGAGCAACCATGCAAAACATTAAACCTTTAAAGCATACTAACGGAAAATAACACACGGCAGAAATGTTAAGTATTCATGTAATAATTTCAAACTAGTGTTGGTTAAAGGTCATCAACATGGGATTTGTATCAAATTGCAAGGAAGCTTAATTTCTTTAATTTTTAAACATCAAAAACATGTATAATTTTCTAGGCAAGGGAGACACATTGATCGGAACATTATCTGTCTCTTATACACATCTAGATGTGTATAAGAGACAGCCCTTTGGACCCATTCCAAACCCTTCCTCTTGGACCATACTGTAGGTTCTGCCCAATTTAAATTGAATTGCCACTCATACCACACATTTTAAATGGGAGGGTCCAAATCCAAATTCGGAAAAAGGCACCTAAAAATATTAATATTTTGTGAGTACGAGGTAAGTGATAATGGATGGTGGTTAATTATTAATAGTTTACCAGCTAAACCACATATCAGGTCCAAATTAGGCACATTGACAAAAATTCTTGCTACTTGTCTATGAAAAACTAGATACGACTATAATAATTGCCATACTGTACATATACTGTCTCTTATACACATCTAGATGTGTATAAGAGACAGCTTACTTTTTTATTTTTACTTTTAGGTACAGTTTGTTAAACTTCTGATAGAAAACTGGGCCACTATTCCTTTTTGGTTTTTAAGGTGGGTTTAACAATTAGTAGGTTTACTATTTAGAGTACTCGGTTTATATCAATTATTAATCACAG